AAGAGTGATGGCTGGAAAGATGCTGTAAGGTCTTCCTCATCCTTTTCATCTCCAAAAGTTTTTGTAAAGCAATGATGTAAACATTAACTAATGATGTAAAAAATGATGTAAACTTTTACATATTTTAACCCCAGCTGGCAATTAAGCACCACACAGCTGCTCACTCACTCCCTCCTGCCCCCCACTGGGATGGGGGAGATAATTGAAAAACAAAAAATACAACTTATGGGTTGAGTTAGAGACAGTTTAATAGGACAGAAAAAGAAGGGATAATAATAAAAGAATATTCAAATACTGCTGGTAGGGCAGCATGAGAAGTTGAAAAGTCCTCGACTTAGTATAAACACTGCTTAGCAACAACTAAAACATCAGTGTGTTACCAGCATTATTCTCAGCCTAGATCCAAAACACAGCACTGGATCTGCTCTTAGGAAGAAAATTAACTTTATTCCAGCTGAAACCAGGACACCTTCAAAGCAAATTCTATTCCATGCTTTGGGAATTTAACCAAACAAACCAAACATTCAAGGCAGTAAACCCTGTATGGAGAATGATGTAGTGGACACCTCTTTCTGAATAGTATAAATTTTATTTGACAATAAAACAAAAGTTTATAATATATTCCATAGGCAAATAACTTTCATCCTTAATGATACAAGAATAATCTTTCTTCACCCTTTTTTTCATCAGTCAGTAAATTTAGTTTTGGCTTTCCTTAATGATAAAGCTGATACCAACTTAATCCCCAGTGTTAGAAATTGATCTTAGAAGACAGGTCATGTAGCTCTTGTCCCTTTTAATGAAAACCAAAAGCTTCAGTGAACTCTCTCCCCAGAACTATTATTATTATTAAACTGCAGTTTTGGAGATCTCAGTGACTGAGAGTTTTCTCCATATACAGTGTACAGCTTACTGACAATTAGGCAGTTTAACACCTACTCTTTAATTATCGTTCTAATCCACCACAAAAAAGTTAATGCAAGTATTATTTTTAAAAATGTTGTGAGCTCACAGAAGAAACAACAAAACATTTGTGTAATATCTATTATTAACCTCACAAAGCCTTTGTAACACTCAAAATTCATTGTGTTGGGCAGAACAAAACAAATTACAGCTATCAGAGACTGGAAATCCAGGAAGGTGGAGATATGTCACACAGCCTGTTATTCCCAAGTTGTCCAGCCTGCATAAGGGTGTATAAGCCAGATCCACACTCATCAGGTAGTCCTTTGAGCACCTTATTTAATCACAACATCAACGTTTCATCAGTCCCTAACTCAAATTCACTGGTGTCATAACGCTGAAAGCTCAGCCTGACTTTCCTAACATAATATGCAAGATAAGACTTTAATGTAAGTGACTTCCTTGGTAGAAATCTTATACTAATATGTATATTTGATGCATATGTTACTGAAACTAATAAATTTTTTATCAGAGCCTTCACAAAATATGATTATTTCCTATTTGCAGACCCACATAACCACTTGTTACTGAAAAGTTCAATAAAATCAAGAAATATCTTTACCTTGCAGAGTTTGGTGAGCTACGGCCATGGTATGCAAGCATCCTCATAACAAGTTCAAAGCACTGAGTTTATCCACTGATAAGCAGTGGATAAACTATGATACGTGAGAGAGTGCAGCAGTTGTCTCTGCACTATACCATCCCTGGTTTCCAGCCTGGCAGGGTTTCTCTGAGCAAATCTGGGATGCTCTGTCAAGCTTTTAATTTAGGATCCCCTGTGGTAAAGTACAAGAATAATATGTTTTTCTTCTCTTCCCTGCTGGCACAAGGATTCAGTCTCAGAAGGTTGTTTATGGGGAACTTCGGAGCAGAAGCAGAGATTTGGTGTACGTGCCTCAAAAAAAGCAGGGAGTAAAGTGTAGCAATCCAGTTTGAAGGGGACAAACATAGCTTCCTAGAAGGATGGGCTACATCTCCCCAGAGAACCTCTGGGGTTTTATGTAGAATTAGTGATTTGGAAGTCAGCAACACAATGCCATTTTCTTTTATCTCCTCCTGGGGCACGGGCTGCACAAATAACAGGCCTTCTGTACGTCTAGCAGGAGGCTTGACAACATTAGCTTCTAGTTAAGGAGACTGTAAAACCCTCTTAAGTCTCAGTAAACCTTCAGTTGTGCCAACAAATATGCCAGCTCATGCCAAATGTGAAAATGCAATGTAAATCTCACCTTCTAGGAACAGGAATAAAACTTTTTTATTTATTTTTTTTTTCCCTCTAGAAATGAGTATTTAAGTAGAATGATGTTTTTGCTTATAGCATCAAATGGAAACGGCACCTTTTACTCACAGGTCACTTTTGAACAGGTG